TCATACAAACCTATTATACAGATACCTCAGGATCTGTCTCTTCAGCTGTGCCCCTGTGGGAGGCACATAAAGCCACGGTGCGGGTCCACATTATACAGTTGGCTGCAGTTCAGAAGCGGGAACGGGAGTGTCGTCGTCTTTCCGACCTTCATTCTCTTCTAGCTACCGCTGATGCTCGCTGGAAGTCGCACCCATCCACAGCCCACAAACGGGCGCTAGACACCCTGGCTGCGGAATTAGATTTGCTTGCATCCTCGAAAACTGAATGGGCCTTGCGTTGGACCAAACATAAATTCTACACCTGTGCTAAAAAACCAGGCCCAATGCTGGCCAAAAAGCTTAATTCTGTGGGGAAACCTTACAAGCCGGTCCAATTGTGGCTCCCTGCGGGGATTGCACCTTGATCCCCAGCAGATTGTCTTGTGTTTCACTGACTTCCTCTCGCAACTGTACTCCGCCTGATCCAAAGGAAAAGAGTCCAGTTTGGAGTACTTTATCCAGGAATTGAAGCTCTGGCTATCTGAAGCAACGCAGGTAGCCTTTAATGCGGGTATAACTGAAACAGAAGTGCTTCAAGCCATTAAAACTTTGCATTCCTCCGTGGCCCCAGGCCCTGACAGCTTTTCAGGTCTGTACTATAGGAAATTTGCAACCTTATTGGCACCTCTGATGCACTCAGGGCTCATGTTTCTGTTGGGAATGCAACAGCATGTACTATAATGTACTACAGAGCACATTTCAGCAGACATCTTCTTGAAGAGAGGAAGAGAAGAAAAGAGAGGAAGAGAGAACCAACAAGTTTTACACATATGCACAACTAGTAACCTTTAGTGTACAGTGCCATCTACTGGTCAGTGATATTAACACGATAATGTACTATACAGTACAGTGTTGCATCATCTTATACATCAAATAAAATGGTGCAGCGCTAATAATAGAACACAGTTTATACACAACAGAAACATGATGCCCTGAGTGCATCAGAGGTGCCAAAAAATGTGCTCTGTATGTTTGCAACTTAAGCCACACAAGTAAAACAGTGTTCTGCCTCATCACTACCAGTGTTTTCTATAACACATAACCAACAGTTTCCATGGTTCCTAAGACAGCGGAAGCCGTGCAGGAACTGCAGGCTTTCCAGCCTATTTCTCTTCTTAATGAGGACCTGAAAATACTGGGCAAGATTCTCAGTCTTCGTGTCAATAAATACTTGCATAGTCTGGTCCATAGAGACCAGGTGTTATATAATCCGCCAGGGGTGCCTCTGGCAGCCCACTGGACAGACCTACCCAAAGCGTGGACTCTAAGTCCCGGTCTGTGCTTTCACCAGGGCCCCTGATGGTGGGGATGGACTTGTAACAGACCAGGGCCAGGTCACGACCTGAGCAGACCTACCAGTGGCAGAGGCAACCTCCGGGGATGTATAGGTACCGGGAGAGCCAGATGGGATGCAGTGATTAAAATAACCATGGAGATGAGAACCATAGATTATAACATCTCCATGGTTATGTTAGGTACACTGCAGAGCCAGATGTGAGGAGGAAAGGCGGGACCTAGCAGGATGGGTCACGAGCAGCGGTCCCGTGGGGTAAGCGAGGTACAGAATCGGGAGGCAAAGAGTAGTCAGGTCACACGCAGGGTCAGCAGGATAAGTCAGTCCGCAGATAGGTCAAAAAAGCCGAGGATCAGGAGAGGAGAAGGCAGAGTAGTCAGGGCAATCCGAGTCAAATACAGGGGAAGCAGCGTAGTCAGGACAATCCGGGTCAAAGCACAGAAGGCAGCCTAGTCAGGGTCAATCAGGGTCAAAATGCAGGTACAGGAACTAAGGATCATAGATAGACCTTGCGACGATTAGTGACAGTGCAGGGCATCTTTAAATATTGCGCCCTGCACTGTCATTGGCCGTCCAGGACGCGCCCCTGGGCTGTCATGGCCGCCAGAGGCATAAGTGTGTGCAAACTGTGTTCTATTATGCAGCGCGGTGTCCTGTCAGCTGCGGCCGTTTGGGACCTGGTGCTTGTGTCCCGGCGTGAGCCGTCGCCAGTGCGCATGCGCCGGAAGAGGAGCCGCCACGATCCCTGACACCAGGTGGGATTTGTCCCTAGGAGGCAGGTGGCTGATAATGTTTGTAAAGTGATCCATCTTATATATCTCCTTCAACAGCGGAAAATTCAAGGATTCTTGCTGTCTCTTGATGTCTACAAGGCCTTGCAGTTTGTGCTGTCCCGTTGGGGCTTTGGGGATTCTATCCTTTCCTGGATTCAACTTCGGCTTTGGTCAAGTATGCAGGGTACTTCTTAGATCCCTTTCCTAATTTAAGGGGGATGAGTCAAGGATGCCCCTTGTACCCAAAACTCTTTGTCCTAGCGCTTGAGCCGCTGGCCATGGTGCTCCAGGCAGATTGTAATATATCGGGTGTCTCTTATGCGGGACAGGAATTTAAGCTTATTCTTTTTGCGGACAATGCCTTACTGACCCTTACCAATCCATTGACGATGATCCCAAATCTGCAATGGGTCTTTGCTCGCTTCTCTCTGATATCGGGTCTCTGCATTAATCTGCATAAGACTGTTGCTCCCAACATCACTTTGGCTTTGGACCTGGTCACTCGCCTACAGTCCCACTTCCCCTATAAATGGGCCTCCTCTTCACTTGAGTATTTGGGCATTCACCTAACCCCTTCTTATGCCTCTCTATTTGCTGCAAACTACTATCCCTTGCTTCGTTCTTTGTCCTCTCTCATGCACTCTTGGCAATTTCCACACTTGTTCTGGATAGGGCACATTAATTCTGTGAAAATGTCCATTTTGCCTAAATTATTATATTATTTTCGCATCATCCCATTGCGGGTTCATCCTCATTTTTTCCGGTTGCTTCAGGTAGGATCCTGCAATTTATTTGAGCTTGCAGACACCCAGGATCTCCAGAACCACTCTATTTTTTCCATAGGCTGCAGGGAGGTCTTGGGTGCCCAATATAACTATTATCAGGCGTGCCAGATTGCCCCACTATCCATGTCATGCTTCCTCTGAAGTTCCTCTCTGGGTTCTTTTGGAACTACCAAATTGTGCCCCATTGCGATATCAACGCTTTTATGGCTTCCCTCTACTCTGTGCCCGATGGCGTTAAGTCCAATTATGCTTCATAGCTTACAAGTGTGGGATTCAGTACGTTATTCGGGCGGACTGATGTCACCCATTTTGCCTCTGCTCCCGATTATTCATAACCCTCTTTTCCCACCGGGTCTTGATCAACCACAGGCATTCTCTTGGTGGGTGGCCAATGGTTTTTCGCAAGTATGGCATTCCTATCCAGAATCTGGGATGAATTTTTTCATTATCTCCAATTGCAGCATTGGCTGACCTCTCTGCGTGGTACTTCCGCCTTTCCATTTCAGAAGTCCGCCTTTGAGCAAATTTGTCAACATTCCCGATCTTATCATCCCTGAATAGGTGTCCCGCATTCTTCTCTTTCGTATGTTGTCTAAATGGCAGCAGTCGTGGACTTGGTAGACTAAAATAGCCTGGTCTTTTGTGGCTAAATGTTCTTTTAATACAGCCACATTGGAGGCAGCATACAACAAGGTACTGTTTTGTTGGTATTGAGTCCTGGCCTGTATTGCCCAGGCGAACCCATCCTAAAGTGACTGCTGCTTTCGGGATTGTGGTCATCATGGAGATGTGTTACATCCCAAAACTGATTCGTTTTTGGTCTTGTATATTTGGCCTTCTCTATATCTTGTTCCACCTTTCTATAAACAGGGAGGCCCGGTATGCCCTACTCCTCTGTCCCATACCAGGCTTGTTGGCTCAGCAGCAAAAGTTGGCCTGCTATTTGTTTTTGTCAGCAACCAGAACAATTGCTCAGGCCTGGAAGAGTGCATCTGTCCCCCTTCAGGGGGTGTGGGATTGCATGACTGCTCTGATATTTAATGAACAGATGTATAGTATCCGAAATAACTCCCAATGCAAATTTCTGAAAGTATGGGAGCCGTGGCTGACATATGCTTTTCCCACAATCCCTCGGGCCAGCTTGGGTTGTACTGATGGTTGGTCCAGGTGTTCCTGAACCCCTGATTCTGATTTTGTCTTCTCTCCTTTTTTCTTCACCTTTTTTCTCCTTTGTTTCTGTCCGTTTTTGTGAGGTAGTCTATACTTGCCCTTGGTCCTGATTTACTGTTGGTGATTATAACACTGTCTTTTCCCTTATGTGCCATTTCTAGCCCTTGTGTGGGTGTGCCTTTTGTCTGTGTTTTCGATTTGTTTAAAAGTTAATAAAAACCATTGAAATACAAAGACATACCAAACACCTAACCGGAATAGACATGGGGGATGAACGCTCAGCTTTTCTTCTACACACGAGCCTCTTTTCTAAAACCCAATATAAAAACCATCACTGCTCCTTCACCTTATAAAAGCAGTAAGATCGTGTATCCCACTGAAATGGAGATGCACGGATCCCCCTACATTGGGTCTGTGGATTTCCAGGGTTATTGAGATCACAGGAATAGATTCCTGAAGTGCAAGGAAAAAAAACTTAGCTCAACCTGGTTTTACTGGCATGATTTCAGTTTCAGGCACGAATACCATATTTACCTTGCAACACCTCCTGAGTCCAGCTGTTAAATCTCAGGGAGACAGACGGAGTATTCCAAAAAAATATTACTAAAGTTATTGGGAATTCAGTTCACACAGCCAATATGGAAAGTCACAATATTAGCACACACACGCTAGGCATGAGTGTTCTTCAATTACCTAATCTCTGAGCTAGTTACTATGTTTATTGACTACTATTCAAGATCTACCTCCTGTTTTACAACATGCTTTTGCAAATTATACTAAGTTTGCATCTGACCTGTTATGTCATGTTTTGCCTTGGATTTTCTTCCTGTTTGTGGATTACATAAATAATTAAAAAAAACTGTCCTGCCACTTGCCAATTTCTTTTAAGGTATCATTAAAGTATTACTAAACCCACAACAGTAAAATCAGTCTGTATATGCAGTAAAGCATGCTTGTTATACTCACTGTGGAATCTAAAGGGTTAATAAACCAGTAAAAAGGCTCTTTGATCCTGATTTCTCTGATCCTCCCCTTCTTCCAGTGCCCCCTCTTTTCTCCTGATAAGACATATCGTGTGGAGTCACTCTGCACATGCTCAGTTTGGTGTGCATTGCTAGAGTTTCTTTTTTTCAGAGTGCATATGATCAGCACAGGGCCAATCAGCCCTGTCCAGACAAAGGTCAGGGGTTCTGCATCCTCCTAGAGCAAAATAAAACCTCAACCTACAAGCTTTAACATGTGCTCTGCTGGACACTGATAGAAGTCACAAGACTGCAATAACTGCTCATGAGAAAAGGTATTTAGCAGTTCATAGTTACTAAAATAATTGCACTTCCATGTTTTCTGTGTACTGTGGGAGACCAGATATAATATATACAGGGTCCTGGGTTTAGTAACACTTTAAGAATTAGAAAACTGAAAATGACACAGCAGTGTAAAATTGGACAGCAACAAGGCATTTTATTATAGGATAACAGGCCAAAATGTACGAGAGACAAAAGGGAGAATTCAGTAAAGGTCCAACACCACCTTTCCAGCTTTAATAGCCCTCATTAATACATTACGCTAAATTTAATAACCATTTTCACCACTTTTCTTCCCATCTGTGAGTTGAGTGCCAAATTCAGCTAGTTCTTATTTGATACACTTTTTCATTTTGTGGCAATGAGTGCACCAAATTCAAACTAAAACTGGAGCTAACTAGGACCAAGCCTGTTTTGGCACACAGGGAGATTGAGAACAGAACGGATCCACAAAGATGTGTACACATGTAAAGGCCTGTTGAAAGCAAAAAAGATTAATCAGATTAGGACTTCTCTACTGAGGGGAATATTTAGTAAAACTGGAGAGTGCAAAATCTGATGCAGCTCTGCATAGAAACCAATCAATCAGTTTCTAGGTTTTATTGCCAAAGCTTAATTGAACAAGCTGAAGTTAGAAGCTGATTGCCTACCTTGCACAGCTACACCAGATTTTGCACAGTCTAGTATTAGTAAATCAACCCCTGAGTGTCCATGTTAGTGTAAGTCAGTGGCAGTGGTATTGCCAGTGTCATTTAGATAGTGTCATCATTTATTTAATTAGTTAGTTATTTGTTAGTGTCATTTATCTACTTCAATAGCTGACACTTTCATCCCCTTCCTGCCCAGGCCAATTTTCAGATTTCAGCGCTGCAACATTTTGAATACCAATTGCTCAGTCATGCAACACCATACCCACATTAAAGTTTTATCATTCTTTTTAGACAGATAGAGCTTTATTTTGGTGGTATTTATTCATCACTGTTTTTTTTTATTTTTTGCTATGTACAGTAAAAATATATCAAAAATGTTGAAAAAATATTTTTTGTCATAAAATTTTGCAAATAAATAACCTTTCTTCATAAATTTAGGACAACATGTATTCTTCTGCATTTCTTTGTACAAATAACCCAAATCAGCGTATATTATTTAGTCAGTATGAAAACTATAGAGTCTACAAACTATTGGATTTATATTTGAAAACTAATCCTGATGTACTGATAGGCTCATTTCTTGAGGCCCTATATGCAAGGACAGTGCAAATACCCCCTAAATCAGGGGCGGACTGACAACTCATGGGGCCCCCGGGCAATAGGGGATCATGGGGCCCCTGTGTCCTTGCCCAAACTCAAAAAAGCCTATGAAAAAGGTACCAGGGGCATCTCATGGGGCCCCCTAACCCCAGGCCCTCGGGCAGTGCCCGAGTTTCCAAATGGTCAGTCCGCCCCTGCCCTTAATGACCCATTTTTGGAAAGTAGACAGTCCAAAAATTTAGTAAGAGGTCCCCAAAGTTTTTTGAAGTTGTAATTTTTTGGGATATATAGTATATATAAGTGGAACAGTACAGCATCATCATATAACTGGTGTGGTAATGATCAGAGATACAGACTGATGACAGTATGTAAAAAAAAATGAAAGCTTAAATAATTTTTTTTTTCATCCAATTTGTTCGGTTGACAATGTATTAGGAAGTCTTTTTTTAGCCTAAGTTGTTGACATTCAGGAATATCTCCAATAGGAATAATTTCACTACTATTGGAGTTAATATTATTTTTAAAAATTCATTAAATAGGGATTTTAATGACTCCAATACTGTAAATTGGTGAGTCTCCACGGAAGATGTTACCTTGATAGATTTTCTCCAAAAGAAAGAGCACCAGTTCTCCCCAGAGATGCATAAACCAGTTAGAGCAGTATTGCTCAAAATTGTAGCACCAGTTCTCCTCAGATACGTACGTTGGTTAGAACAGCATCATGTCAGATTGCAATTAGTTTCATGCCAAATTGCACCAGTTTCCCTCAGAAAGAGGAGTCCAACAATCAGACCAGCAATGCATCCAAGTGCAATAGGAGGGCTAGAATGGAAGAGCTGTGTGACATTTAAAAAGCAATATGCCAAATACAAGAGCAAAGTTAACCTCCTTAGCGGTATTCCCGAGTGTAGCTCGGGGTAAAATTTCAATACCAAGAGCGGTAATCCTGAGCTACACTCGGGCTTACCATGCGGCGTTGCTCAGGGGGTCCCTGCAGCACTTACCTTGTCCTTCGCTCCCGCGATGTGTCCCCTGCAGCGTCCCCGACCATCTCCTCCGGCCGATGCCGGCATCCGGCTTCTGTGTTCTGGTCCGTGACGTTGGGACGTACGGGAAATTTGAAATTTTTAAAAAATGTCATTTTTGCTGTCATTGCTGTTTCAATGCATTTCACATATATTTTGTCCCTACTGCTTTGTCCTGTGCCCTGCCTGCATTTTGACTGTTCTTTCTGCCTGGAAACTTAGAAAAGTCGATGGCGTCCAAAAAGCGTCCCTTTACGTCAAAAGCGGTTTTTAGAACAGCGATAGTAAATCAGAACCACTTGCAGAATTGAGTGATAATGATTTGTGGTGAAATTCGTCATCAGACACTGAAAACGATTTTGCGACTTTGCTCAGCGATGTGCCAATTTGCCTCTGTATTTCAAATTTCAGTGTTTATGGTTTGATTATATTATTGAATCAAATTTATTATTATTATATTATTATTTTTTATGATTATTTATTAAATTATAATTTATGATTTCGCGTTTCAAGTTTTATCATATCCGGAATGTTTACTAGACTCTTGTTCATACAGATTTCAGTGAGTTATTCATAAAAATTACAGCCTACAATAAAAAACTATATATTTTCCATGCAAAAAAATGGGGGACCGCTTTCAGCACAAAAAATTGGAAAGAATCATACCGCCGAGGAGGTTAAAGTGGTTGTAAACCTCAATATACTGTATAAGAATAGACACTAAATAGATAAGACTTTATAGGCACAAAAGTCGAGACCACAAAATATAAAACACTTGAATTTTATTTTGAATTAGTAAAAATAACTAAAACACCATGCATATAAGGGTAAATAATTGATAGCTACATGGAACAAACAACACATTTGATACTGCATCATTCAAAACAGGGACAGATACATCTGTATTCCCCTTAGCGGTAAGTTTGAGGTCTTACCTCTAAGGGATATACAAAAGTATCTCTCCCTACTTTGAATGATGCAGTATCAAATGTTTTGTTGTTTGTTCCATGTAGTTATCAACTATTTACTCTTATATGCATGGTGTTTTAGCTATTTTTACTATATCGAAATACAATTCAAGTTTTTTTTGTATTTTTGTGGTCTCAATGACTTTGGTGCCTATAAAGTTCTACCGATTTTGCTTCTATTTTTTTATATTGACACTAGGGATGTGGCACCTTTCACCTCCCAGTGGAGGGTATTAACCAGGGAATAAATCTCTTTTAGTTTTAAACCTCAGTCATGAAATCTGAGCAAAGCACATACACCTGTAGTGTTTATTTGTCTTTCTCCAAAGCTGTAAGTGTCATTTCTCTCTGATGCTTTGTTCCTCTGTTATCAGCATGTGTCACTTCTGAGAAGTTGTCTCCGACACCCAAAATAAAATTGTGACGACAGAGCGAGCACAGGACACAGCTTATCTCAGGGGCGACAGAGCGAGCACAGGACACAGCTTATCTCAGGGGCGACAGAGCGAGCACAGGACACAGCTTATCTCAGGGGCGACAGAGCGAGCACAGGACACAGCTTATCTCAGGGGCGGACTGACCATTTGGGAACTCGGGCACTGCCCGAGGGCCCGGGTCATTAGGGGGCCCCATGAGATTCCCCTGGTAACTTTCATAGGCTTTTTTGGGTGTGGTTTGAGTGTGGGCGAGGACACAGGGGCCCCATGATCCCCTATTGCCCGGGGGCCCCATGAGTTGTCAGTCCGCCCCTGGCTTATCTACTCACAAAACACAGCTCTGCATGTTCCTTAGATGCTGTGCAGTGTGTGGAGGGGGGGTTATCCCTTTCCTCCAATCAGCTCTCGCATAGTTTACAAGAGCTCTATCTGCAGCTCCCCGCTCCCTCCTCTGTGATACTGACAGACTATAAACGATCTTATCACAATTCAGTCCTTTTGAAGGGATGTAGAAAAGAGAAGACTGCAGATAAACAAGTCGAACCTATGCAGGAGGATTTGTTCAGGTTGTGTATATCACCTGAGGCCAGTCACTTCACTGAGTATATGTAAGGGTTTACAACCACTTTACTATGCCTTTTCCTCTCAGAAGAGACATGTAACAGTTAAAAAGCAATGTGCCAAATAGAATAGAAAGCTTGATGGGTCAGTTCCCCTCAGAAGAACCTGCGACATTTTAGAAGCAATGCGCCAAACACAATAGCAAGCTTAATATGCCAGGTTGCCTCAGAAGAGACGTGCAACAGTTAAATACAGTGCACCAGATACAATAGATGGCTTAATGAGCCAATTCCCCTCAGAAGAGACAAGTGACAATTGGAACGGCATTCGCGCTAAAGTTTGATAAGAGTAGAGCATCGGTTTTACTCAGAAGAGGTGTGAGATGAATAGAAAAGTATTGCTCTAATATCAAATACCCGTTCAGGACAGATACATGAATTTGGTGCATTCTGTACCACTTTCTCCCTGCCTCTGAGACACTTTCGTTAATTCTGTCTGCACCAGTCTTTATGAATTCCAGGGAAAGAGCACAAACAGGTGTTTTACTATAAGAATAAAAAAAACTGTTTTAATCAGGATAATTGGCCTTTGAAATT